TAGGAGAAAGAAAACAAGTTTTCTGCATATCTTTATCTGCAGGTGCTCCGACCTATTTTGCTACATCTAATCTACACAGCCAAGAAGACGTAAAAGAGTAGACAAGGAGAGACCACGTTCCCCACACCAAACCCCAATAATGCCACCGTCTTCAGTTGCCGGAAGGAGTCTACAGTCTAAAGCCGGAGTCTGATCTCACTCCCATACCTGGCATTCTAAAGCCACAACACCATGCTGCCGATGTGGAACATGATCAGTCGTAAATCTTTTCTGTTTGACCATGTGACTTGCCAAAATTCTGATTCTGCCCTCTGGTCCTCCCCACACGTCTCTTTCCTTCCACCCACAGTCGCCCACCATCGAGCCCCCACCAGAACGCTGGAATGTCAGGTAGGAAGGTGGCAATCCCACACGCCCGGATTGGTGTTTCTGTGCTCATCTCTCATGTGTCTTGACATTTTCATTTGGCTTAATATCTGTGTGAGAATATGTGATTGTGTGCATAACTCCTCTGACCCAGTGGCAGCATGGCAGCAGGGCACTCTAGGTAATAAGATGACAGGAATGTGGCACTCGTCAGCCTCTCCAAGGATGCTGTTCACATTCTGTTCGTTTCAGAGGGTTAAGCCTTTATAAACGGCCAACGTTCAGTATATCTACCTGTGAAAAAGCTCTGTGTATGTGTGTTTTCGTGTACGTAATTTAAGTGTTCATACTCCTTCCTTACATTAATTACATTTGGGGTTTTGTCAATGTGCTGCAACTGAAGTTTTTTCACACTTTCATAGTCACTTTGCATCTTCTGCAGCTAGAAGCAGAACCATTTTTGACCGATTCATTACAAAGCCACATATACTGTATACTGCAAACCTCTTTTAAAGCACTTGAGATTTGTGAGTGTTTTTAATAGGGCTGTCAAAATAAAAGTGTTAATATATGTGATTCACGTGGCCAAAATTAATGCAATAACATTTTTAACGCAACTTAGTTTACTTCTGGAGGGCCGGAAGTAGACAAAGTTGACTCCGAAAAACGAAACCTGCAGCTAGTCAGTTAGCAGTCATTTGGATGGGAGAGAGTGAGACCGTAGATGAAGATGGAGAGAGCTTTTTGCATTTAAAGAAAAACAAATAGAAGCGCAACATACAGCAGAGAACTGTGCAGAGAAATTACTCCTCGTGTCAAACAGTAAGGGGATGAATGGGAAACAGACCATATGCACTGATAGACTAAGCTAGCTGCTAGGCTACTTCCATCTCAACATCTACCCTGCAGAGGACCACCGCCGCGTCCCTAAAAGACAGTGGTTTGGAAAACGTCCTGGCTAGATATTGGTAGAGTGTTGGCACTTCAAACACAGGCGTCAAATGATGGAGAGTTGCGAGCAAAGTGAACGAGGGCAGCAGGAAGAGTCGCTAGTTCAACATTTTCCCCCCGGTGGAATTCTGCCTTCAAGGTGATCAAATGTGTGAAGTTTGTGTTTAAATTACAATGAATGTGTGATTACTTATTAGTTGAAGATTTAGACTTCAGACGAAAAACACATCCCGATTAATGAATTCCAAAATGTGCTATTACTAATCTATTGACAGCCCTAGTTTTCCCTACAAAATGTTAATTACAGGCCAACATAAAAATTAACTTGCTGTAGATAATATTATACTACTAAAAATAAGTACATACTGTATAAATAGAAAATATGTATTCAGGGAGAATTTTGAAGTGTTCTCTGTACATATTTCAAAAAATATTTGAGAAAGGAAATTTGCTGCATTATCTGAACTTAGATTGAATGTACGGGGCCATAAAATTAAAAATTGATACATCACAATATTTGCAGCATCCGAAATCCCAATTAATCGGGTTTTCACAAAAATAATACATTGGTACCATTATTTCTGTGATCCGTGTGGTTTTCAAACAATGCTGGAAAATAGTAAAAAGTGTAATGTAGAAGCTTTTCTCAGGAGAAAAACTATCATTAATGATGAAAACAAATATCTTCCTTATAATGATTTAATGATTTTGAATTGACTTTAAGACCGCAAGCTCTGGTATCCCGGTGGTCGGTGAAGACACAATGAGGGAGCTGTTCTGGGAAGAAAATAGCTACACACTTGTACATTCTATCACAGAAGATTTATCACCAACATTTTTGTAGATGGATGAATGAGCCAGACCTGTCCATACGTGGCCCTTTGTGTGTGTGTGTGTGTGTGTGTGTTTGTGTGTGTGTGTCCGAGTTTATATTCCAAAGTGTGTTTCCAATGACACTTGATGATTTTGAACAGCTGAGATGAGTTTGGGTGGAACTGGACAACGGGGCAGCTGTACATCTCCGTCTTGGACACATACACACAGAGACACTAGGGCATAAAACAACAGTGGAATCCTGAGGTCCGACCCCCTTGGGACCAGGCCTGACTGGGACCTTAATAAAGGTCTTGTTTTTTCAGGAGGTAGCTTATGCGGTTTCAGGTTCTCAACAGGCCTCGTTTTTACAGACATCTGCCATAATCTCCCTGATTGCATTGTCCTAAATTGCACTTACATGAATGATTGTAATATCTTGTTCACTTTGACAATTTCATTTTAAATGTCTGTGTGTACGACCTGGCGACATCTAATGGACCAACTGAAATGTCTGTGCCAAGTGCATGGGAGAACAATATCGTTTGGTACAGCAACACGAATGGCCCCATCCAGAGCTTGTGTTTGATTTGTCTGTTCTGGGCTACTGTAGAAACATGCATCAGTCTCCATGAACAGGATAAGCTTCATATGTAGACATAAACAGCTGATAGGGTAATAAAAACAAAACAATAGATCCTCCCTAAAGGTTACACTCTGCAGCGCTGTATGTAAAGGGATCATACAAGGGCAAGTGTTTTCATTAATGTACTCATGGCATTCATAGCATAGGGTATAAACTATTAATAGTGTTGTGGCAATGTGAGTAGTCGTCTAAATAAAACAAGGTTGCCATTACTACCTCAACAGGCCCTGCAACATCTCAGCCAATGAGAGACTTTGCTTGGTCAGTCAGAGGAGGGGCTGGATGTGCTGCAGGGTCACAAGGAGTGATGTAACCTGTGTTTATTTTCAGCATATACACGTAAATGTAGACACACTGACACCTTCATGCACTTGCAGACACATGCACGCGCACACACGGCAACTCTAGACGCTTGCACATACTGTTCTTTGAATGCAAAGATTTTAGCGTGCACAAATGTACTGAATGACTTTGGGATGTCTGCCATGTTCCTGCAAGCTGGTCGTCTCTCCTCCCAGTTTGGTCACTCGATGACAACTGTTCTATATGCACACGGATTACCAGTTGTGTACACACACACATACCAAGGACACACACACACACTCAATTGAGTAGAGGTGGTTGTTCCAGGGGGAAAACAGGGCAATTAAATAGTGAAAGGTCTGTGTATCACTATGGACAAGAAGTTGGAAGGAGAGACCGAGACAGAAAGAGAGACAGAAACACAGAGAGAAATGGAGTCATAGCCATTAATAATAAGTTGCCTGCCTTTCACTCGGTCAGCTGCAGCTGTTGATCACGCTGGTGCAACGCCGAGCTCCTTGGCATTGCATCACTCTGTTTCTCTCTGACTCCAGTACTGTCCAGCGTTACCCGGCATGTAAAGGAATCAAGTGGGTCATACTGCAAAGCTAATGGACTGAAATATTGACCCCATAATATTAATTGAGATTGGTTCTATTAGTTGATATGCAAATTACAATCTATTCATTCATTTGATTTGATAAGTTCACAGTATTATATTGCAGTGCTAACTATTCAACCCTGTAATAAAAACGGTGATGCGAGACAAGGTCAAAGTGAAAACCTGAGTGTTACATGTCTGTTTTATCCGCTGCTATTTAAGAGCATGTTCAATTCATTAACATGCCGGGGACCTGCCACTAGTTATTCATACTATGTGTGATGTATGCATAGCGAGATGTTGCTCATGTTCTCCATCTAACGCTGCAGGGAGACGATGTAACTTCCTGAGGAGCTCGCCCACTCGCATACATCAGAGACATTCCACCTCATCTGACACTCGCACATGGAATTCTGCAAATTTTCCACACTATTCTACGAGGCATTCTAAAGTGCTCGTCAAAAAAGACTGGCATGCCCAAACATTGGGCACCTGTAACCCCTTAAAACAGGAGAAAGGGACTTCACTTTCTAGAGAAATGCATCCAACTTGTTTTGTCTCCGAGATGTATTTTTATTCATTTTGTACCATGGATTCATGATAAATAGTGTGCTCCTGCCTCTGTTTGCTATTGTCATTGTATGTTTGTGTGTGTGTGTTAAAATATGTTTTTGTTTGCACTGCTGATAGGTGATAATTTGTCATAGATTCGTGCACAGTCCCTTTCTCCTCCATGTTAGTATGGCCAGTGTATGCAACCTATAGTTGACACCTATGTGTCATTCTGGGAACACACTAAATACTTCCGATGACTTGAAGGTTCACTTGGCAACCGATGGCTGTTTTAAGACCACAGATAAACTTTCAGCTTGGACTGCGAGGTTTTAAAGGATCCAGTGCATGGAAAAGAATAAAACGACTCTTAATCACATGTATCATGTGGTCATTGTCGTGTGGCTGGTTAGAAAGCTCAATGACTTCATCCAACTCTATTTGTGTAACTGAATGACATTCTACTTAACCTCTATTTTACACCAGCCATTATTAGTTACAGGCTTGTTTCCAAATTGAATTGCATGTTTGAAGGGAAATGTCTCATTCACTGACTTTGCTATGATTTACACCCACACATTTGACACCCAAAATGCTTCCAACGTTTACAACTTTCGGCCAATTAATTGTTGGTATAAAAAGGAAGCTTTCACTTCACTCGTGTGGAACCAATGATCCGCTGGCAGAGGGAGTGTTGGTGTTGGTGGTGGTGGTGGTGGGGGGGCTGGTAAAGGTGGGAGGGGTTGACACAGAAATGTACAGGACAGGACACCCTCATGCTTAACTCCATAAACCTCACCGCATTTTGCTGCTGCCGCAGTTGTTGTGGCGCACACGGTGAACAGAGAGGTATGCTTCGTTTGGGGCGATTCTGTCGGGTCCGGTGACGTTTTTTTTTTTACGCAGCGATCACCGAACGCGTTTCTCTTCAGGCAAAAAAACAAACAAAAAAACAAAAACTAAGCAAGAACCGGAATGTTATCACTCACCCTGTCGTCGGTTTCCACAGAGCAGTGAAGACGCTGCTCGTTTACCATGAGCTGTTTGGATGTTATGTACCCAGCCTATGGACATTACGCAGCGTACGCCCCGACTGTTCCTGCTTTAATCAACAGCTTACAGGTAAGAAGTGAGCAGACATTTATATTTTCATCCAAATAAATGAATGTTTCACCTTCAGTGTGAGCTGGGAAGGGGTGTTACTGATTGGAGGCTGTTTTGTGGGGAGGAGTGTTTGCAGCTCGTGCGTAAAAGCAAGTAACCCGATGGATCGTTTAGTGTTTGATTTGTCTGGGATGTAAATGGACGTTTTCCCCCACAAAATCTTAAAGCAAGTAAGAGTGCGTGCGTGCGCGCGCACATGACAGAGCTGCCACGCACAAAAAAAAAAGTCCAAATGTGTCATAGACAGTCCTGTGTAACACCTGTCTTAACCCACCCCTCCCCCTCCCACTGGCAGGCTCCCACAGGTCTGAGCAGCGCTTCTCTCTGCCGGGATTTTATGGACACTCCTAGGGGTCCTGAGGGGATGCCTGGGGGCCCAGGCACTGGAGGATCAACTTCCTCCTTATCTTCATCCAACTCTTCCTCTTCCTCCTACACGCCTGCAGCTTTAAGGCCAGAGGAGGGCCCCAAGGAGAAGCAGGAGGCCCCTGAGGCAGAATACCTGACTTCCCGCTGTGTCCTCTTCAGCTACTACCATGGAGATATCAGCAGCGTGGTGGACGAGCACTTCTCCAGGGCCCTCAGCTCCTACATGGACGGGGAGGGCAAACGGCGGGCACCAGACCAACAGGGCGCAGGTATACCACCTTGTAAAGACTAGCTATATCAGTTATAGCTATATCCACTTGTGTAAGGAATGCCAGACCTACTTAAATGTAGCAATAATAATAATAATAATAATTATTATATTCATAATTAAAGAATAGTACCAAACCCAAACAACTGAATTTGTCTGGCTCCTCCATGGAAAACACAAACTCCAGTAAATCCTATGCCAGTATGTCTTAATACTATAACACCATCCCCATTAAGCAATTATCTTTTCATGAAAACAATTTGGACCCAATCTGAATGTTATTGCACCAGTAAACTGAACAGTAGGGCAAACTGATTTAAGGTTGTTTTTTCCCTCCACTATATCCCTTTCCATTTCCAAGAATCATGCCGCAGTTGGCGGTGTGGTGTCTTCCACTTGTTTTCAAAGCCACACAGGGTGAGTGGACAGTTCTGCAGAGCGCAGCAGAGCGCCAAACAGGTGAAGCGATCAGGTGACAGGACTGAAAAGCTGCTTGTTTTGGACTGTTGTCCCTGCAGAGGTCGGGTTGTGGGGTTCAGAGGTCATGAGGGTCAGGAGATGTTGAGTGCCCAAAGGGGCCGCTTCTGCTTTACTTAAGGTAAAGATGAAAGAAGAAGCAAGAGAAAGCATGCACACTTTGTAAAGTTAGATCGTTTTTTAATTCAAATATTAATTGAGGCAGCTTTTCTATACCAGGGTAATAGTTTAGGCCTTACATGATTTTATTTTGATGGGAGTTATAAAGCTTTTTTTAATAGCAACATTATATTTGCTATGTTGGGTTTTATGCACTAATGTGGATTGCACCAAAATGCAAAGTACCGCCGCCTTCCTATTTTCTTTTAGTATCCATAGAAGCCTGCTCTCTCTGGTGGTCTTTTTCTTCAGTTCAGTTGGACGTCTTCGTTTCGGCACTAACAGACGCTTCCTGCCTCACAACAGATGCTATGTTTATACATGGCCGTAAGCGCACAGCCTCGTCGCCGTATCCCCTTCAAACGTCTCTGCGGCTGCCATTCTGACTATCGCTCTTGCCCCACAATGGTTGCTTAGTCAGTTGCCTGCCTGCTGGTTAGATTTATATACGCTGTGGTCTGTCCGTTGGGGGCAGAGGGAAACATTACCTCTCAGAGCGCCGCGTGGTGTATTTTTTCAGAGGAATATATATATATATATATATATATATATATATATATATATATATATATAAGTATACTTCTAAAACCTATAATGGCTCGCTGACATTCTGTCAAGGGCGAGGAGAGGGGGGGGAGTAGAGAAAACAACAGGTGGGGGTGCAGGAGACCGGAGAGAGGGGCAGTGGGTGGTAGCACAGGGCCAGTTTTGCGTGTCCAAGTGTGTGTTTGCATGTGTGTGTGTGTGTGTTGCAAGACTTTTAGAAGTACTCGGCTGACATGAGAGTGAGAGATGTCACCGCACCGAGTGATTTAAGGCTCGGTGAGCCTTGGCTTCCCCCCGGGTCAGAGCGCCTACCGTATATAGAATCCTAGGACATCGGGACGTCTCTCTTTCCACGTTTCTCTCTGTGTCCGTTCCCCGGCCCCTGTCTTCTAGAGCGTGGTTGTGTTTATTTCGGTCTTGATTGGGCAGCTAGGGCTGCGTGACAGTATGATCCAATGGGGAAGATATCTGGGCCAGAGGGTGTAGTCATGTGAGTGACATCATTGTTTTAGCACAGGTTGCTCCTGTTGATTAATCAAGATTCAGGACTCTGCCTAAATCCCCCCTGCTCTCCCCCTATTTCCCCTCTCTGCCTCCCTCTCCCATTAGATACCCCTTCATCTAGCAGTCGACGGAGCTTCCCCCCATCCTTCTGGGACAGTAACTACTCTTCGCCACAGAGCCGCTCCCACTGCGAGACGAGTGCGCCCTCCTATTCCATGGACCCATACGCATCCGGGTTGCACCCCGGCCTGCCGCACCCACACGCTCACCCTCACCCCCACGCTCACGCCCACCCACACCCTCACCCACCAGAGGGCTGGGGATATCCCCAAGCGCCAGCCTACGGCCACCCACGGCCTCTCCACGAACTGTATTCACCGTCAGCTTTGGAGCCCCATTATGGGCCCCTGCTGATGCCCACAGTGAGGCCACCTCATCCCCTCGCCTTGCCGAGCCACTATGACATGAGCAAGCTGGAGCCCACTGCCTCCTGGCCCGGCCTGCTTCCGCCCGGAGACGTGAGCCAGGCGCTGACACTCAACATGGACGCAGGTAACCACTCAACCGGGTCAGGCTTTGGCAACTACTGTCCAGACAATGTGTTCTTCTATGTGAAGTTGAGAAAATGTCTCTAAATCAGACCAGGTAAGAAAATCAGAAAGTGTAAAGAAAGTCACTTAGACATCATGAAGACAAATGTAAATGACAAGTTCTGATTATATATGGCTATTAGAACAACTTTTTATCTATCAACTTGAGCAAATGAGAGCGCGCTTGAGATTCACATACATATACAATACATTTTTCATTTTTTGTGCTATTAAAATGTTACCTCAACATATATTTAATTTAAGGAACACAGAAGAAAACATAACCATTCACATAAACACATACAAACTCATGCACCATATATCTGTATCACATATCTGTCAACCTTCAACCCTCGTGATACCTGTGTAGGAAATGCATGCTAAGGTGACAGTATTTATGACTTCATGAATACATTAGCTACCGCCATACACACTTTCATGTGTGCTAAAATAAGCATGCACACGCACACATACACACACACACACCCGCCAACACAATACACAAACAATACACTATAATCATCACAGAGCGTTCTTTCCCTCCTCTTAAAATGGATGTTTAGCAAAAGTAGGCTCCATGACAACCTGTGTTCTGCTGTTCCCCCGTTGTCCTCCCCATTGTTCACTCGTCTTTTTTCTTCTTCTCAGGCCTCCAGCAGCACAAGAAAGGCAAGGAGCTGTACTGGTTCTAACGAGCCCTTCAGTCACATTGACCAGCCATTACCAGATCCAATTAGTCCCTGGACCTGCTCCGCTATTGAATCAGCGTGTCCCTTAACTCCCCCACACACACACACACACTCCATCCCCGTCTATCCACCCCCTTCTCCCGGCTCTTGGCCTCCCCTGCCAGCACACAGCCTTGCTCCAGGTCGACGTGTGTGCACCATGGAGATAAAGCAGGGAGAGAGACAGAGACGCCGAGTGTCACTGTTTGCAGTCTCTCTCTCTCTCTCTCTCTCTCTCTCTCTCTCTCTCTCTCTCTCTCTCTCTCTCTCTCTCTCTCTCTCTCTCCCTCTCTCTCTCTCTCTCTCCCCCCACGCTGCCGGTGCAGCACAGACCTTGGCAAGGTGTTGGCCACAGTGACCTGTTTGGACCGAGAGAGACCGGATCACAACAGACCAAGCAGGGATTCCCTCCAACGTCCCTGGTTATCTCTGCCTGGTTCTCTTTGTTGGTACAGCGGTTGTCATCATCCATTTATCTGTATTTCACAAATGCAGCATGCAGCGATAAACAGGAGCAGCAATTATGGTGGTTCATGCTTTGTGACTGTCATCGCGATGCCTTTTTGGTTGTTATTTAATGTTTCTGAAATAAAGTGTTTCTATTTATTGGTGTCCTAAAATGTTTGGTTAGGCCAGTGATCTCAAATGATTGTGATTCAGTTTGTTGTGTTTTATAAAAGGTAGAGGCGCTAGAGATGACCATACAATGTTTATTTTGGTGGATATTATCATCATTCTGGAAAAAAGTGTTCAGTTCAACAAGTACCTGTTTGCTGTGAACAGACTCAAATCTTGTGATCGTTCAATTTAATAATGTTCTATTGCCGAACTTTATATCTCTGTTTCATTATTAGATGTTTTGAATTTGGGCTTTCTAAATACTTCTGGCTTGGCCTTGTGTCCAAGAGGATTTTGATGTCAATAAATAGTTTTATGGTAAAATGGCACGGCACATAAATGTTTACTTTGCACTGCATTATGATGATTTAACTGTTTAAAGTATTTTTGTGTGGGTGGAAAAATAGAAACAAATACTTTCAAAGTATACATTTGAATATTTCATTTATTTTTTATATTTTATTTTTGGAAAGTCAACACTTGATGAAGTCAATGAGGTTTGATGAGGGCTTTTGGATCAGTTTCTGATTCCCCCCACTAATAAGTAGTGGGTTGATATTTTGCTGTGTGAATCCTGGAGACATCAGCAGAGCCAGATATGATCAAGGTTGCGCTGTGCGACTTGCCTTATTTAAAAGGCCATCCATTTGAATTCCTGCCTGCATTCACAGTTTGTCACCTATAGAGTGGGAACGAGTGGTGGACGCCAGCAATGTGCAACTAGAGATGAAGCCTGCCATTTCAGCTATGCACCAAATGTTGCCGTGTTATTGATCCGATAATCGGATTATGTGCTGAGGTATGCCAGTCTGGGCCACTGTCACAATTTAACGGCTGTTATGTTGGCCCCCCCCCCCCCCCCCGCTAGAGAGCAGCCAACTATGTGATTGACTCTAAGCTGAGGATGCATGTAGAGTAATGAAATTAGAAGAGTTTACTGGGGGTGGTGTTCATCTCAGTTTCCCATGCCATGCATTTTATGGCATTTTCACACTAGTATTGTCACTGGGTCTCAGGGTCTCCTTTTCACACCGCATTCTCCCGGATCTACTCCATAGTTAGCATGCACCACCAGCTATTGTCCAATTACATTACTTAGATGGCGGTAAACACTACATAGCATTACAAATGTCCATCACACTTTTAACAGGCTGCATGAGAAAACCACTGCATATTTCTCCATTTGGGATAATGATGGTTGAAGTGTTAGTATAGTGAGTATTATTGACAATACAATTTGTGGAATCTGTATTTACTTACTGAAAAGGAACAATTAGTAAGCCTAGAAGAATGCTGCCCTCTTCTGGTGTAGTTATAAAACTGCAAATCAGCAAGAAAGTGAGTGAGGATTTTCAATCAAACAATCAGGAATCCGGAATCAGGAATCAGGAAACATTTATTGCCAAAATATGTCAAACATACAAGGAATTTGTCTTGGCGGATGGTTTATGACAGTAGACAGTGTAACAATAGACAACAAGACAGCAGTGCACAAGTAATAAAATAAAGTAAGATGAAATGCTAATGCAATGGGTTAGTAGAATAAGGCTATGGGTTAGTATAAAACAAGGGAATAAAGTTAAAGTTAAAAATGTAAAATATTTTAAAAAGTTAAAAAATATTAAGCATAAAGTGCACTAGCGAACAAGTAACAAAGTGACGAGTGACGACAAAGTGATAAATTACAATTAAAGTGACATGTGCAGTGTGAAGGGGAGTGACCGGTGGAGTGTTATAGTCAGTCAGTGGGGGACCGGGCTCTGTTGATGAGCCCGACTGCCGACGGGAAGAAACTGTTGGTGTGGCGGGAGGTCTTAGTCCTGATGGACCTCAGCCTCCTGCCAGATGGAAGGGGCACAACCATCTCCACTTTCTTCAGAGCCTTGAGCTCCAGGTTGTTCTGGCTGCACCACGACACCAGATGGTCAGACTCCCACCTGTAGGCGGACTCATCCCCACCAGAGATTAGTCCAATGAGGGTGGTGTCATCCGCAAACTTCAGGAGCTTGACGGACTGGTGACTGGAGGTGCAGCTGTTGGTGTACAGGGAGAAGAGCAGAGGGGAAAGAACGCAGCCTTGGGGGGAACCGGTGCTGATGGTCCGAGAGGCTGAGACATGTTTCCCCAGCTTCACGTGCTGCTTCCTGTCAGACAGGAAGTCTGTGATCTACTTGCAGGTGGAGTCGGGCACGTGTAGCTGAGAGACTTGTCCTGCAGCAGAGACGGGATGATGGTGTTGAAGGCAGAGCTGAAGTGCACAAACAGGATCCTGGCGTAGGTTCCTGGGGACTCCAGATGCTGGAGGATGTAGTGGAGGGCCATGTTGACAGCATCGACCACCTGTTGGCTCTGTAGGCGAACTTCAGGGGGTCCAGGAGGGGCTCGGTGAGGGACTTCAGGTGGGTCAGGACTAGCCGTTCAAAAGACTTCATGACTACAGAGGTCAGGGCGACGGGCCTGTGGTCATTGAGTCCTGTGATCCTGGGCTTCTTGGGAACAGGGATGATGGTGGAGGCCTTGAAGCAGGCTGGTACGTGGCATGTCTCCAGGGAGGTGTTGAAGATGTCAGTGAACACCAGAGACAGCTGGTCAGCACAATGCTTCAGGGAGTGAGGGGAAACGGAGTCCGGACCGGCTGCCTTACGGGGATTTAGTCTTTTAAAGAGCCGGTTAACGTCTCTCTCCTGAATAGAGAGGGTCGTTGCTGGTGGGGAAGGGGAAGGAGATATAGATGAAGAGGCGTGAGCACCTGATGGGCTGGGGGAGGGAGGGGAGGGGGACTGCAGCAGGTTGGTGGAGCTGTGGGGGATGGGATCAGGACATTGTCTTTCAAATCTGCAGTAGAACTCATTCAGCTCGTCTGCCAAGCGGAGGTCATTCATGGAGTGGGGGTTTTTGGCTTGTAGTTAGTGAGGTGTTTGAGGCCTCTCCAAACCGAAGCAGAGTCACTTGCTGAGAACTGTTGTTGGAGTTTCTCAGAGTACAGTCGTTTAGCGTCTCTCACCGCCTTGCTAAACTTGTATTTTGACTCTGTACAAGTCTTTGTCCCCACTCCTAAATGCCTGATCCTTCTGCAGGCGTGTCGTCTTACTTGTGACTGACCGTCAATGCATCTGTGTGAGGAATACTGCTCTGCAGAGATTGGGAGCAGACGTACGAACGCACTCAAGTTTAGAAAAAGTAAGAAAGACGGGTCTGGCAGCTGCAAAACAGAAAGGTGGTAATGCATTTATTTTAACCTTTGGTTAAGGCTCATTATTTTACGCCCCAAAATGCACTTCTATAGAACACACTTATGACTGAGAAAATGAAGATACTGCCTATATTTCGATGATGTAATGCTCATAAAACACTTTGGGTGTGTGTTAGTTTCGACTAGTGTAGTTAGTTTCGACAAATCTTAAAAATGTTGAAAATGTTTGTTACAGTAATGTGGACCGTGTATTGCATCATATGTTGTGCAAAAGTAGTTTTGGAAAAACCCTCATGTGATTTAATCCATGTACTGTTCCTGGCTTGACTTTAAATAAGGGAAGTGAGTTTTAAGTATTTCCCAGACAGCTTGTTTAACTTGTGCTGTCCGTCACTTTGTCAGTTTCAGTTCATGTAAAGCTGCATTAGTGTCAGTGTTACATCCACTGAAATAAATGCACCAGAAAGAACTGATTTGCTCGATTCAGTTTCAGACATATCGCATACTGTGTAACTCTGGTTTCAGAATCTACAAATCAATGAGCTCCTGCACACGCAACTGCCCATCTTGGAGGTGGGTTCTCCGTACAAAAACATCCACACAGGCTTTACTCTCACTTCTTTCTCGAGGTCGATCACACAAGCACTCAGAAACCTTGAGCTATGAACTTTGCGTTGTGCTGACCCGTGAACCATTATTGACTGTTGCTTTATAGTATGTGAGATAATAATAATAAAACTTGCTCTCTGCTCTTTTCAAACTGTGGGCCAGCATTTCCAAAGCTTTTTATAATGTGTGCTCTGGAGTACTACACATTATCCATGAATGTCGTGTATACATTAGTTATACGGGCCATATTTGTGAGTGATAAGTATTTTTTACTTTTGATACTTTTAATATAATTTTCAAAAGATTATTTGGTATTCTTATTCAAAAACTTTTATGAAGGCTTTCAAATTGCTAAAGAGGACATTGTGGTATTAAGTCAATTATCTGACTTGTTCCACAACTTTTTATGAGCACGTTTTGGAAGGTTGTAGGATTCAAACATCAACAACCTGCTATAATAGATACAAAAGCAGCAGCCCTGTTTCTGCTCCTATTAGTTTCGTGCAGGATTATTTTCATAGCTTTTATAAAAGAACCTCAATCATTTACACAAAACAGGACATCTTGCATATCTGAGAAACTGCAGACTAACTAAGAAGAAACAAGAGGCTGAGTTTACTGTTTAATCTGTAAACTTTGAGCTTAGCTTTGACTTTTTCAGCCTCTTTATGGTCTTAAGTCTTGTGACAGACATGCAGCCAAGCAAAGAGACAACAGGCAAGCAAAAACCCCTACCATGGAAAAATGAATATGAATACATTGTTGATACAACATTTTATTCGACTTTCAACCCACACATTGTTTCCACCATGTATTGGAAGAGAAATCAATTTATGAAGTAAATTCCCAGCTTCTGTTTCTGTTTGTTTGTTCTTCACCTGGTCTCTTTTTTTGTGATTGACTGTAGTACTCATGCTCCTGACAATAACGGAAATGTGAAATTTGCTGAGCAATTCAATTCTTATGTTGAAAACAGGATGTGGAGACCGGAAAGGAAATTAAAAACAACTGTGTTTGAGTTTGGTTTTAAGTTGCAGAGCTTTCCAGTATAATTAGTGGGTGACGGCATGACAGGAATCACGAAGTGGTGGTTTTTTCACATGATGGCATCCCGATGACTGGCTAAGAAAACGATAACGAAAATGAATTAAAATGCACTGTAATGTAAGGTACTTCTTCTATGACCTCGATACACGTTTCCCAAAAGCATGGCATCACAAGACATGTTTTTTTATGCATCACTCACTTATTCCCTATTTCAATGATTTACTCTCTCTTCCTTCATATTTTATGAGCGGCTGACCGCCACCTGACGGGACGTAATGCATTTCATAACAAGACGGCAGCTATAAAAGTATGTCTCCCTAACGCAGCCCTGCATTACCAACAGGTGGATATACCTCTGCTCCCTTAGCACACAACGTAGAAGCAGGTAAGCAAACATGCATCGACAGACAAGCAGGCTCTTCCTGTAATGCAAGCGCAGCCATCCAAACGAACAAACCGAAAGAATGTGAGGGAGGGA